ACTTAAAAGGAAATATAGAGAACAATTTGGCACGAACGGGCATCTCACCAATTTCTAACACCATTGCTGAATATTTATGTTGGTGACGAATGATGACAGCAGTGAGATATTTTAACACGAAGCCTTGCCTTGTAAATCGTCTGAATGATGCTGTGTCAAAACACCTACCATAAATCAGAGGTTTTAAGACCAGTGTTTCTTGTTTAAACATGCTACCTGCTCGGCAGAAGCACTTGTGTGAGCAGGCACAGATTAATGTGTGCTAAGCAGAGCCATTTTACCTCCAAACTTATAGAGCTATAATTTAACAGGCCTATTATTGTCAAGGTAATTTTGACAGTGCTGTGTTATGCGTGTTAAAATATGCATTCAGCACCAACTCCAGTGGCCGCTGCAACTGAATAAACAGACCGGTGCACTGCAATTAGATCTCTTCTCTATTGAGGACTTTCTTCTTTTGCCTTTCTGGCAAAGGCAAGGTATGTTGACAATTGGTTTTCTATATGCTCTAGCAAAACAGCCTTTTCTGCCAGTACAAGTGCTCACTATGCGCCTTTTAACTTTCTTTTCACTTCTCCACAAGTTCTTTTAGCAACCTACCCTGGATTCTGAGGACTCCCTTTCTGAGCTGGAGAAAGAGAACAATAGTGCAAACCACTGACAGCCTTCTTCCCAGCCCCTCTGAGACGCACAGCCTAATTCAGAATAGTTTATATTTGTCAAGCCATCTATGAGCCCAATTTCGCACTCAATCGAGCTGTGAATCTTAATCATTCTGCAATCTCTAGATTTGTTAGGATGGATATGAAAGCATTTATCTTAAAACTAGGAGCATTGATGATGTTCTTAGTGGCTACTTCTATCAAAGGAAAATATATTTAACTTAATATTATTTTATTACTTAATATATACTTTAAATCAACAGAAGTCAGTGCGCTTCTTTTCCCTTTTTTCCAGTATTTTATTTCTCACATACCCTAATAAGAAGTGACGACATGAGTTGGTATCTTCCTTTACACTGTATAACGCACACACCGGCACACACAGAGCATTGCAGGAAAATCTGCCATGTGAATAAACATACTGGCTTCACCCGAGATTAACTCTGTACCTCCCAGAGAAAATAAACAAGCACCCCAACCAGCACCAGAGGCCCCATTTCTTCCAGAAAGACTGACAAATTAATGGCAAATAAATATTTCTATGAATCTAAAGTTCATGTAGTCAGCCACGTGTAATGTAACCAAAACTTGGCAACAGAAGTTGGGATCCCTGGCCAGCCATGCTTCTGTCTCCGAAAGTGAAAAGCTAAAGTTAGGTGACTGGATAAAGTAAAAGGTCTGGGACTCAGACAGTCTGGAAATAAAACTCAAGGCCCAGTGACCGTCTTTCTCCCTGAACTCATGTTTTGCAAGGAAAACAGCGTTAAGTCAGAACCCATCCTTTAGGAAATAAAATACATCCAGCCAAGAGGCCAGTCCCTGCCTTTTCCGGAGTCTCGTCCAGAAAGTGCTAAGTGGGGATCAAAATATCGCCTTTGCAACAGTAGGTGTGAAGACTTCTTTAATGCAGCTTAGTGTTTCAGTCATAATAAATGCAAAAAAAAAAAAAAATTGCCTTTTAAGATTTTCTGTGGAGTCTGACAAGGTACAAAGGCACAAACTAGAAAGGGACAATTTTCCGAGAGAGCTGTACCAGCAAACCCGGGATTTGCCACGCAAGTGCCCTGGAACTCTGTCCCTGCAATTCTGTGGCTCATGCTGCCCTCTTGTGCCCAATGTCAAAAGTAGCCCGGCTCCCTGCATCACAGGAGAGATCCCGTGCTTGCTTCCATTAACACCCTCAACCCGGGATTTGTGCAGACTTGTTAAGATCTTCTTGAACTCAAGTGCTGAGATACGGGGTAAGTTCTGATGCGGAAGAGAGGGGTGAAAGGGAATCAGAAGGTGACTATGAACACTGTTCAGAGTTCCAGTTCAAATGTAAGAAGAGCTGCTGACAGTGTCTGTCACAGGCGCACACGCCATCACCAAACCAGTGCAAAGAGGAAGAGAGCAGAAAAGATGGAGAGCTGAGAAGGAGGAGTGAGGAAATGAAGAGAAAAAGGGGAAAGCTGGCTCTTGGAATCCAAAGTCACACACTGTTTTGGTTCAAAATCGATCCTGATTATGAGGTTAAGATTCATCGGATGATGAAACATGGGGAACACGGTCAGCGCCCATTCTATAAAGATGCTGCAGCTAACTTTGCACACTCACACACGGATTCCACAGAGAGTGTGATTTTACCGTTATGACTTAGAGAGGCTATCAGCCATATGGGATGGTGACGTTCGTCTTGACAATATCATCATGGAGAAGAGACCTAGACCTCCAGGGCTGCCCCACCCTTTCCTTCTCCACCTTCTCCTTCAGCCAGCAGTCAGTGGACTTGGGATGAAGGCTCCACAGCCAGGGCTCCAGGCAGTCTCCATGGAGGGCCTGGGTCTCTACACAAGTGCAAAAATCACCCACTGCTCAGCGCCAGCGGGGAGGGTGAGAGGACACAGGCCAAGAGACAACACTCCAGGGTGGCAAATCCTATGCCTGAGGAACAGGACGTTTAAATTCCAGAAAATGATCTCTGAGAATATGCTGATACAAGCAGAAACCAGAATGGATGGAAGGGCTAGATCTTGGGTCCAAGCTGGGCTTAGGACACATGAGGTGGTGGTGAGGGAGCTATGAGGCTCCACCTCAGGCTTCAGGGTCAGTCTCCTCCTATGTCTAGCTTACTGGACGCTGGACACTGACAAACACCCTTCTAGTTGCCATAAGTTATGTAAAATCTGGGAGGACGCTGGCACGCAGAGCGGTCGAGGAAGAAACGCTTTGTCTTTATGCTGCTCAGCAAGCGTGTCGTGTAACTGAGGAGGCATGACATACCAGAGAGGCTTCTGCCCACGTCCTATGTTATGCAGCCAGTTGCAGGAGGTGAGTGTTTAATGGCAAGACCGTGTTTATAGCCTACTTCATAGCCTGGGTGCAGCTCTTCACAACTGTAAAATGTGAAAAACTTCCCACTAAAAGGGCAAATAATACACGCTTACGTCTGTGTCAGACGAGGGCTATCTTTGGTGCTTATTTGGGCTCCGTTTTCATTGAAGGGAGAACATCCTGCTAACAGATACATGAGGGAGAAACAAAATGAAAGCTTCTGACTTGATATAAGATTAGCTTGCTATAAGATCTAGACTGGGCCCTGAATCCCTCAATAAATAGGAAAGTCAGCACCAGGAAAGAAGACGGGTCTGAAACATGAGGAGCCTGGCTAGCAGGCTCGGGGCAGCCTCGGGGTGGAACACAGCCTGCTGTTTAACTAGCAAACGTGGGCAGCTACCATGCTCTTAGCACCGAATCCTCTGCTGCCTTCGGACCACAGCTCCAGCCAGACTGCCTGTGGCTGTTGTCCATTATTCTCTGGGCTCTACCTCATGCCCGGAGTAGACAGTATCTGTAGGTTAATGTGGATGCAGGACTTTCCAGAACAGTCTTACTCTATCCTCCCAACAACCATGTAAAACAGGAAACGTCAGCATTTCAACATAGGTAAGAAAACTGAACCTCAGAGCCTCCTGTCCCTGCTGCTCATGTTCATTCGCTGGGAACTAAACGCCACTTCAAGCACTGGAAATCATTCACCTGCTTAAATCTCAGCTATTAATAAGATGGGTATGGACGATGTCCCCATCTCACACACCTGAATGCCAAGGCACGGAGAGATTGATCAACTGGCCTATGAGCAGCACCACAGCCATAACCAGTGATCCTCACGAGGAGCTAGTGCCAAGATGGCCAGCCGCACCAGGGTCCACCCTTCTAACAACACATCCGGCTTTGGGAGTCTGCTCCTCTGGTATTATCCAAATGCTTTGTCTTGGTCCAGCAGCTATTAGCAGCAGGCACAGCCCTCAGTGCTCCCTCTAGGCCACAATCCTCCCCAAGAGGCCCTAAGAATTATCCCCTGCACAAACAGAGCTGCCCCAAGCCCCACCGCTGACCCCTGACCAGGGTCTGTGAAGGGGACCAACATGCTTTAGAAATCTGCCCCTTGGATATTCCTGCAGAAGGAAGCAGGTCAGAGGTCGACCGTGGGCCTCGAGCCATGCAAAGACACTGAGTACAGGTGATCTCCTTCGCACACAAAGTCCATTCTCACGCCACAGAGGCAAGAGTGATGGCAAAACAACAAATGGCCAAGAAGGAAAGTCGGGTTTGTGTTGTTCATTTTAAAAACAGGGTTAAAATGGATACGGTGATGTGCTGCAGAGTCTCAGCACTTGTGAGGAAAAGGCAAGAGGGCTATCACCAGTTCAGGGCCAGCCTGATCTACACAGTGACTTCCAGTCCAGCCAGGGCTACAGTGGCAAGATACTATCTCAAAAGACTAAATAACCCATACATTTACACTACATAATAACAAAGAAGACACAATAGAGTCAAAGGACATTTACTAAGGGGTGATCACATTTGGGGGGTTTGGTGTCTCTTCGGTACCAGTCAGGTCAACCTCATAGTCAACTTCATGGTTCAGGAAATGTGGCTGACAGCCCCTCATTTCCTGCTCAGAGAGCGTTCCTCCTGTGAGACCCTTCCAGAAGGCGGTACAGGTCAGGATGGAAGGTTGCTAAGACACAGGAGGTGTCACAGTGCGCGGCTACACTCTGCCTGCCTGTAAGGTAGCAGGGAGCTCTGCGCGCCCATGACGCCCGGATTCACAACTCACCCTGCGAAGGGAGGGCACGCGTATTGCTCCACACCTGTACACACCGAGATAATTCCGTGCAACTGATATTTAGACTTTGTACTGTGAGAGGGAAGTATCAGGGAAGCCTTCGGAGAAACGAATAAACATGCCGAGTGATTTGCTCTGAACACTGCTCCAGCTTTCAAAGACTGAAATGTCACCAGATCCTCGGTGCCTCACCAAGGCATTCACAGGGAGCTCGGTGTCTGCCTTACCTATTGGGTTTCTATCGAAGAACAAGACTGGAGCTTTCAGGATTGACACAAACATCCTGTTGTGCAAAGTTTGGGAAGCATTCACAAGAACATAGAACACCAACAGGGATCTTGCTATCCCAAAAAGGACTGTCACCGCAGTCAAGCCTGGAAAAAAGAAAAATCATCTGGAGAAAAAGGCAGTTTATAAAGATATCACTTATCTTCTTCAACAAACATCTAGGTTCTACCTAAGTATGATGCACTTATAAGAACACTGACAAAAATTAATGTTTTCTCACTGAACGGAAAATATGCACCTGGGTGGATAAAGTGTAAACTGAGGCTTTTGTAAACGAACTGCATGTTCTAGTAAAAACTCAGAAGAAAGACAGTCATATCCCAACTATTACTTACAAGTCCCAAAATCCAACATTGTGGTGGTTTTTTATACTAACAGGGAAATGATTTACCTTTTTCTTGTAGTCAATGGCACGTAGCTTTAAAGAATTTGAAAACACCACATCAAGTTACACAGGGAAAAACTTTTAAATGGTTGAATTGTGAGAAAATATAAATCATATTTTAACGTGCAACCAATAAGGGGCAACCAATCACTCACCATTGGTCTCATGTAAACATAATACATTTTAAATGAGCATCATTTAGACAATGTTTTATTAAGACATGCTTGAAGAACTACACTGCACAGGTGTGTGTGTGTGTGTGTGTGTGTGTGTGTGTGTGTGTGTGTGTGTG